AGTCACGGCATCTTTGAACGTCTGAGGTACATTACAAACCATCCTGTAGCAATAATCAATGTTGATCTGAGCCTGATCACTCTCTATCCCATAAAAGTCTGGCCTCCTCCCTTTAGCAGGGAATCTCCGTGGAGATTGGGATTCTGGCTTGACCTCACCTGACTGTAGGCCTATCTGGCTCGGACCTGGCCTAGCCTCTGGAATGTCATTCTGCTCGGGTTTGTCAGGGTCAGGTCTGATTGGGCTTGCCTGCACACCACTGTCATCGTCGGACATGTCATAAGTTTGCTGTCCCTCAACACAGGAGATGAACCTCACCAGTCTGTGCTTCATCACCTTCCTGCTATCAAGGTAGTAGAACATATAGGCTGAACTGTTCTTGTCATAACCAATGAAGATGCCTTTGTCAGACCTTGGCACACAGCACCAAACTTCTGCATCCTGGAGACATTCGGTCTCCTTCCTGTCAGCACAAAGTAAGGTGTCTCTCTGGTGCGGTTGTTGAAACATCTATTTCTCACCACTGCTGCTGTCTGGACATCAAGGAATTGGATCAGCTCTGCGTACGCTTCCACATCCTCAGCCAGTGCGTTTTCTTCCAAACCATCGGCAGGCGGATTCAAAATTGTGTCCTTCAATTTCTGCAACCGCACATGGCCCAAAAACTTCTTCTCCCACAGTTCATAGTTCTTTTTGTCTCCGTCAAATACAAGACGAGACCAACGTGAACTCGTACGTTCGCTCATGGTGCTGGCACTCCAATCCGTGGGACACGCATTCAAACGCACATACAAACAATATCTCTCGGTGGCTACTTACGCCGGATAACTCACAAACGCCAAACGCATCTAGGCCCATAACCTGTTAATCAGAGCTTGACTGCTAGGTATACCGACTCGATCAAGCTAAACTTTGGAGGACTAATATGGCGAGACTGGATGCAGGTTCTGGTAAACACTCAAGGGGTTTTATTTTGTGCAGGTGAATCAGCTTATATAGGCAGTGAAATAACTCACCTGAAATGCATCAGCAATAATTGGGAGCACCATCAAGTTTGTCAATTATTCAACAGGGGGGTTTCATATCAGTCTAATACAACTGAATAGCTCCAAGGCTTATGTCGGACTCCAATTAGCTAACACCAATCACTTGTGGGAGGGACACAAGCTATGTCCCAATCCAGCGGCTGCATCCTCGCGAGGACGCATTTGTGGCCGCAAACGCTGTCCCATTCTGTTGGCTCCTCGGATTTATAAAGACACATTTAAGATAAGGATATGTTTGTTTGTAAAAACATACTGTGGTGGCGGTCGTGGTTTTGGCTTGGCTGCAGAGGGGGGAGAGAGGGGAAGTGGTTCAGGGAACGGTGCCAGGTGGAGGCAATTGGCCTCAGCTGAAAATGATGATTGTGTTTGTCTCCCTATACTTAAACGCAGTAGAGACAGTTACACATACCAGAAAAGTAAGTTGGCAGCTCAGGAGTTTTAAAAGAATGTATAAAAACATTATGGCGTGACGTGACAAATATAATAGATAAAAACTAAAACACAGACATCATCGGCTAAAAGTAAAAAAGGTTTTTGCTTTGTTAAGGTGTTATTGTCTATTTTTGTCCCCAGGCAGCACTGACCGGTGTGAACTGGGTGGGGTGGTGAGTGAGGGTGTGATGGAGGAAACCGCTCTGGGGGGAAAAAGATGCTCCTCAGTCTGTTAGTCTGGCTTTTAATAGTGCTGAATCTTCTTCCTGATCTATAGATAGATTTATAGATATCAGCATATCCTACTATGCAATGCGTTGCAAATGAAGATTTTATTTTATTCAAGATTGGGATGAAAGAGCTGGGAGTTAAATTTTAAATGTAAGTACTGAAATTCTATCAATCTAATGTCAATAGATTAACCAAAAATGTTGTTTGTTCTCCTCCAAAGACAATATCGTATAAGTAACGAGTAATCGCTCGTGCAGTGTGCTGTGCTCTCAACCGTCCATTTGTTTGACCGTGAGTCCCCAACAATCTCCTTACATTTAGCCAGGACGTTTTCCAAACCAGTCTTTTAGGGCAACAGTGAGCGTACTTTGCAGAATGTGTGCCGCGCAGGGTTGTTGTTGAAATAAGTAGCCTAGTTGCCTAAAGTTGGCCGTTTGCCACTTGCCCCCTGTTTTCACACTTCAAGGAATTCCTTTCCACAGTTCTCATGCACCACTCTGTCGCGCCTCTGTTTTTACTTCCAATGTATAAAGCTCTCCATCTTCAACTACTGTCTGTCTCTCCGATCTAACTGACTGCAGGCAGGTGGCGGTTTTGTGTCAGGGGTCAACCCACATAGGTAAACAAGGTTGCGGTAAAATATTTTATTGCCTTTATCTAGGCCACAATAACATCATAGATGAACGCGTTTGAAAGGCCTACTTTTTACCATTAACGGAATAATTTATTACATTACATGTCATTTAGCTGAATCTTTTATCCAAAGCGACTTGCAATAAGTGCATTCAACCATATATACACATCGATACAAACTCCGAAGAGCAAGAAACAAGAGTACAATTTCATCAAATAAGCAAACTTTTTGCTATAGATAAGTGCTACAATTTATTAGTCTTTTAGTCGAGGTAGAGTCTGAAGAGGTGTGTCTTTAGTTTGCGGCAGAAGATGTGAAGGCTCTCTGCGGTCCTGATGTCATCAGAGCACTCGTTCCACCATTTCGGAGCAAGGAAAGCAAAGAGTTGTGATCTTGTCGAGTGTTTTGCTCTCAGTGAGGGAGAGACAAGGAGTTTTGCAGATGCACAATTTATATTGTTCAGAATGGGAACCTCAATGCCAGTTAATCCCAATGCATATGGTGGCACATTATACCATGTGACTACAGAGAATCTGCTCATTCTGGTAATGAATGCTGCAAAGAAGTGATGGCTTACAATTCTATAAATAATTCCCACCTTTAGCATAGGGAATACGATGAAGAAATTAGACTATGCGCAGTTTAACTTCATGCATATGGAGGTCTTCGAAGTTAAAATATACTGGAGAACTTTTGAAGAGGATGATGGATGATTTCAAATGTAAATACAAAGGAACTATCGTGGGTTTTGCTCAAAACATCTAAGAATTAAACCTCATATAGCTCATAGAATTACTAAAACTAGACATATTAGAATTTCCAGGTTATTATGATATAATTGGGGAATGCAGCTCAGGGAATTGTATGTTCATAACTATTACGGTGAAATTGGCGATTCAGAAGTAGAACACTCTACTGGCGCATCAGACAACCTGTAATGTTATCTGATTTATTCCCCCCACACAATGGGAAATGTCATGCAGAGAATTCCAATGCTCAAAGACCTTTTGCTTCCTGCCAAAAATACTCCCTGCGTATATTAATAATTTCCGCGGGATGCCATGGCAGTGAATTCCCAGACCCCCTCACTATTATAAAGGTTTGAATGCTGGACTGATTGGAGGAATACGCTCCATCAAGTGTGACCCACTTAGCTGCTGGAGAGGAACCAAAGGAACGCAATTATTTAAAACTCTGCTTTATTATTCATAATTAGCAGGCGCTGTAGTGTGCGTGTGTCTTTTGTTGCAGGCATGTGGGTGTCTGATAAAGCTTTCTCAATAATATGCTACCACTATGTCCAACGAAACAATGTGTGTCTATATTTGTCTGCAAGTGATATGTAGGTGTGTGTATTAGTCTGTTTTTGTCTGTCTGTTGATTGTGTGTGTCAGAGAATGTGGGTGAACCTTTGCATGTGAGGGTATGTAGTTTTGTTTTTTCAAAGATTTGATGTGCCTGCATATGTACGTGGTATGTAAGCCCGGATTTTGTGTGTGTGTGTGTGTGTGTGTGTGTGTGGTGAGACCCACTTCACCAATGCCAAAGAAAGAATGTGTGCGTTCATATTCAGACTTCCTCTATTCTATCCTCTGTTGCCTCTAAGGTCTTATTTTTCTGCTTTAATAATGATTAGGGGCGTATGTAAATGGTAAATGGCCTGTACTTGTATAGCGCTTTTCTAGTCTTCTGACCACTCAAAGCGCTTTAACACTACATGACATCATTCACCCATTCACACCCATTCATACACTGATGACAGGAGAACCATACACAGTGACACTTGCCATCAGTAACTACCATTCACACACTGTAGTCGCAGCTACAGGAGCAATGTTGGGTTAAGTGTCTTGCCCAAGGACACAACGACATGCGGGTTAGCCGGGCCTGGGATCGAACCGACAACCCTCTGATTGGAGGACGACCGTGCTCCCCACTCACCCACAACCGCCCACCGTATGTGTGATGGATAATGAGTGTCAAAATGAATGCGTGTTATATACAAAGCCTAGATGATAAAGTGCTGCGTAATTTGGTGTAGAGAGTGTGTGTGTGCGAGGTAAAAGAGAATGTGTAGTGTGATTTTAAGGGAAATAGACAGTTTTACCTTTACATGTTCTACATTACAATCATTTTTTACCTACCTGCTCACTGTTATTACAAAGGATTCTGAGGACAGCTTAATGCTTGGTCAGGGAGAGAATGGAAAAAGCATATAAATTGGCAATAGTTTGCAGTGGTGTCAAAAGTAAACACATTTGTCACTCAAGTAGAAGTATAGATACTGGAGTTTAAAAAGACTGGTAAAAGTTGAAGTATCAACTTAACCTCTTTACTCAAGTAAAAGTAAAAGTACAGGCTCTAAAATTTACTTAAAGTATAAAAGTAAAAAGTAACCTTAATAAAAAAAGCATTTAAAGCTAAACTAGTTGGACCTCATATAATTGACACGACTGTAAGAAATAGGTCCACAAACATGTTTTTCTCAAACTTTATTGGAATTTAAATAGACCTCCAAACTGAGGTAATAATATTCAAGACATACCCTGGCCTGCAAAACTACCAGGACATTACCGAGGAGTGTGCTTGTCAGTGTGTGTGTGTGTGTGTGTGTGTAGGAGATAAATAGACTGCGAAGAATATCAGTGTGTGTGTGTGTGTGAGTAAGAGAGCGAAAGAAAGAGAGGGAGTCTGAGTGAGAAGTATGCTTGTCCATAATTTCCTTCAAAAACTGGGCAGTAAAACTGGACATAAACTAACAACACCATTGGTGCCACAGGAGCATTTTCGGTCTGCGTGTGAGAGTGTACGTCAGTATTTTGTGTGTTTGTGTAGGACAGAAAGAGTACAATGGCATACCCTAAACAAATACCAGAACCTTCTGTTTAGCCTCAAAAGAAGCTGGTTTTCAAAGTTCTTGGAACCTATAGGTGCCCGCTTTGGTCTGAAGATCAGTCCTGCTGCACTAAACATCTCTTGCAGGCTGCTGAGGCTGGGAGTGTGGTGTTAAGCCTCAATGAAAGGTTGCATACTGCCGGGAAAGACTTAAGTATATCTACTGTATCACCTCGGCATCCAAGGTAAGCCTCAAGCTGTTTGGCATTTTCTTGGGAATTGGTCTGTTTGATTGCAGAAAAGAAGTCCTCCTTCTCTGAAGAATGGGAGATCTCTCCTTGATTCTCCACAGCTTGGTCTTTCAAGTGACTTTTCATATAGTCAAGGCCGATGGAATAGAAAAACAAAAATAGGACCAATTCAACTTTATATGGCTTACAAATAAAGATTGCCATTTGGTTTGCTTTTGATTTCCTCACTAATTGCAAAGTATGTTAGATATACTTTAAATGCAGGAATTTCCTCTATTAGCTACTAGCATAAAGCAAACAGTGCAACACTTACCAAGTTTTAGGACGCATTCGTCACTTGTCCAGCATGTCTTGAATTTGGGGACTAGAATTGCTGTGGCGACCAGCTCTGGATCTCTGAGGATCTGTCCAAATTATTAAAGTGAAAAAATATATAGTTCAGCTTTAAAAATGAAAAGGGGCAGGTGCATACATCAGTATCTTTAGTGCACTGCAAACAGCTGCAATGGCCCCTTCTCCTTGTTCCCTTGCAATTCTCACAATCCTCTCCACTGCTAAGAAGAGTGAGTTCCATTTGTTGCATTGGGCCTCAAGAGCTGGAGTTTGCAATTCTCTTCAATGATCTCAGCTGCTGTGGTGGATCTTGCGCTTTTGTTCCAAAGACTCCAGCACTTTGAGAACGTTGAGCGTGAGACACACTTGTAGACTGTGCTCAAATTTGCCTCCTCAACATCAACTGTTGACACCAAGTTGAGAAGGTGGCAAGCGCAACGATGGTGTTTTGGAAGCTGATATTCCAGGCAGTTGTCTTCATCCAATATGGCTCCAGCCTCAACAAACTCCACGCTCTGAGTGCTATCCTGGTCTTCATCATTCTTATCATCATCATCTACTTCACCACTCCCTTCTGTAGGTGCTGGATTGTTGTTATTTTCGTCGGTCTGACCATACACTCTAAAAGCTTTTAAGAAATTCGAGCCATTATCAGTTGTGGTGCGGGTAATCTTTTCACGGATGTTAAACTCAGTGTGGATATCATTCAGAGCACTGGCAAGGGCAGAAAAAGAATGTGACCCTTTAAGCTGTTTGCAGGCTAGAGCAGATGTTGTACAAGATCTATGAAACCCTGTTGCTCAACCACATTAAGTGGGTGCAGGCCTTGTATGATAAAATTAAGGACTTCTGTATCAACACTGGCCTGGGACACTCTTCTGGTCTCCCGTAACTTAGCTTGTTTGGGTGGGTGACCTTCATCAGGTGCTCCTGGCTTTCTTTTCAGGGTGTTTGAAGTAAGGCTCTTATATCTCACCAGATATAAGACTCTTACTGTGTTTTCTCTGTGAAAATAGGCATATTTAATCATTAGACACATTATCAAACCGCTATACAGTTTTTTATATCTGGCTCTATTTATACACCTACGCTATACGTTCGGCTGGCCACCTTAACTCACAACCCACGTTGACTAAATCAGAGCTCTAAACTTTTCAAAAAACCTTGAAGAGACATTTGGTCGGGGGTGACTCTACGGCCGACAGGGCGGACGATACAGTCAACGGGGGGAGGTTGAATAGGAACCATTGGTACTCGGTCCCCGTTTTTTTTTACCGTGAGAAATTGAATGTGTGGCGGGAGTGCGTGACTAAAGACCGAAATGAGGTGTCTGAGCCACCTATCTAATGTTATGCTACTGTAAGCTATTTTTGCACAGCCCAGTTGAACACCACCTCAACTTTCCTTCCATCTCCCCCTTCACAACAAAGCCCCCACACCGGAACACCTGTGCAACAATAGCTTACACTACTAGCCGTTAGCGATTAGCAATTCCTCTTTGATGCTGCTCCATTGACTTCTGTGTTAAGGAGCTAACAAGTTGGTAAATAGGCTAGCGTCTGTATGTCGCGGTCCACAGTCCACATTTGAATGCATTTACTCGCAAGACATTGTGTGTAGATTTTAAAATGTGTTGTACATACCTTTTTAGGAAACAGGTGTCAACTTAAGGGACAGCCCTAAAACCGTAATATTTGTTTTTCTTTACAGATGTCTGTGGAAAGGGAAGACAGCCAGTTAACACAGACCTGCTCCAAATGGCATAACCTTTTGAGCTTTGGCTATGAAAATTAAGTGCGTGTGTGCTGCATGCATGTTAATAAATATATTTGACTGGTTTGAGTGGAGGCCTTTATCAGTGGGTATAACTTAACAAAAAACTGTTACTTAAATAAGGCATTCATATTCAAACTTAAACATAGAAATAGCAGTTTTGTCAAACAAAAGAACCAGGCCTTATCATTAATCACCAAAGCTGATGGAGAAACAGTATTACTGAACTGTTAAATGTTATGAGCTATAACCCATCATGAAAAATAAAAATTCACCATGGTATTTCTAACTGCTCTTCCTACTGGTTCATCGGCTCGATGTGGTGGTGGTGGCTGCAGCTGTGGTACTTCTGCCTCAAGTGGCAGCCTGTCCAGGATTTCTTCATTAAGTGAAACTCTTCTCATTTGTGCAGCTCCACACGAAGATAATTTAGGCAGGCAAATCTTCGTTTTAGAACACCATTGATTCTCTTTGTTCCCCTTGTTGCGCTGTGCGAATTGTTGTAACTCTGCTGTGAGTCACATGTGACCGTAGCAAAGGGGGTCATAAGCCAACGTAGAAGTGGGTAGCCACTGTCACCAAGGAGGATACCATCCGGAGCAGTTTGGTGAAGTCTTCTGTAGAGATGACTTTCTCTTAAAATCTTCTGACGCCGATTGGTTAAAGCATTGCATGTTGATCACGTGCTTAATTGGTAAAAATGGCTCATGTACTGCCGGATTTATGTTGACGACGAATACATACATGTTTTTTTTACTTCAGTTTTTCACTGTGTTTGCTGAAAAAGAAAGGAACGTGCAAAGAAAATGAACAATGATCAAACACCAGTGAAGCGTAGCTACTGTATCAAACAAAGAACTTTGCGAGCAGTTACACTTAAACTGTTCAAACCATAACATGTAATCTCCCTCAAATCCACCTCTGAGGTGGGATCAGGGTAATCCAGATATTTAGGATCAAACTGATCCAGATTTCCCAGTAAAGTTTTGAAATAGTGTTCAGTACTATTTATTATACTAATACTCAACAGTGTTTTATCTGGATTAAAGGCAGGATTGGATTACCAAATCTGAATCTGAATCTTCAGGATCAGATTTGCTTTCAAATACCCGTTTTTAGGATCTGATCAGGATTTAATCCAATCCAGGAGAATTAATCCTGTGGGATCATTTTGAAATACCGGCCCCAGGAGTACATTAACCTTGTCCACCAGGGTCTACAATGACTGTTAGAGAATCAGCTATTCATTAAGGCTAAGAAGTGCAAGTTCCACGTTACCTCCTTCATTGAGGACGGACAGCTGAGAATGGACCCCGAGAAGGCAGTAACGGAATGGCCGGTTCCCGCCTCCCGAAATAAAATTCCGCAGTTCCTATTGACAAGTCATCCGGGACTCCTGCCGAATGGCAGAACGACTGACACAACTTGCCTCCTCCAAGATGCCTTTTTCATGAACCCCAGCGGCAAACAAACTTTTTGTGCCCTCAAGCAGCACTTCACCTCGGCCCCAATCCTGATCCACCCAGACGAGACCCGCCAGTTTCTCGTCGAGGTCTTGGAGGAGTGGAGGCACTGGCTGGAGGGATCGGTGCTCCCCTTTGTTGTATGGACAAAACCACCGGAAGTTGGAATACATCCACACGGCTCAATTCCTCAATTCACACCAGGCAGGCTAAGCTTTGTTTTTTTGACCGTTTCAATTTCACTATCACCTATCGGATAAAGGATCATAGTTTTTGCCTCCTGTCTTTACAGAGAAACGCCTTCTCCTTCTGCGTTTCCTACGTGTTGTTTTTTTTCAGCTTTGCTTCATCATTTGCCTTGCCTTCAACCAGATGTTTTTACCTTGGGGCGTCTATCCCCCTATCTGCCTCTTTTTTATGCTTACCGTAGTCGACAGTGTAACAAGGTGTAAATGGTGAGGAGCTGGAGCCAATGAGCGTCATCTGAACTGTTAAGAATAAAGTACAATATATCCGCAACAGGAAACAAAAAAAAGTGAGCTGCAAAGCCCATCATCCTTATTTAATCAACCCTTGAAATCCCCCCCTGGCATGCAGGGGAATTTTTGAGTAGTCAGAACATAAAAAGGGCAATGAAAAGCGTCAAAAGGCATGAGGAGAGGAAATGAAACGTAGGGAGAGAGGACAGGGATATGAATGAGACAAGAGCAATGATGGTGTACTGGGAGGATAACATCAGGGGGAAACTGATGCAGACAGTAACTATCCAGTTTATTTATGATTTGTCGACAGACATCCAAAGAGCAGCAATATGCAATCACTGTGAAAGCAGGGGTTGCATAATACATTACCAGTAGTGAATGTGTAACACACATGAAGAATTGGAAAGCTTGAAGAAGCCTTTGAAAGCGGGCTGCGATACATGTGACCCTCACATTAGCACAGTTTGCTTTGTCGCATAACATGCTATTGATGTAATGATGCTATGGCAAGAATGTGCAATAAACTTCAAAACCGCATTTGTAGTGGAGCCTTACATGAAGTCTAAGTTTCTAGAGGCAGGTCGATTTGTTGCTAAATGACGTTGTGATGTCATCGCGCAATGACATCGCGTAATAACGTAACTCCGATTGAGTCATGAAGTAGAATAAAAAATTTTTTACTCTGTCCATCTTGGCAAAAAATATGATTTGACATTTGTTTTGATCTGTTTGTTCATTATCACATGTTTTTTTTGTAGAATATGAACACAAAACATTTAATTTCTGATATTTTTAAACATAACATTGAACACTTACATTTTTCTTTCTTATTAACTGGTTAACCTACACATTCTAAACAATGATAGTTTCAGGCAGTCTATTGGTAGGTATTTAACAAACTTACCGTAGTAAAATATATCTTATTGAACATGCAACTTAACACCGCTGCGCGACGTCGATCCCCTGCTACTATCATAGTAAGTAGCAGTCACATTACTATTGCTAATGTGGCAATGCTAAGAGGGAAGATGTGGAATTTTACTATTAAAAGCCAACAACGCCACCTAGGGAATTTCACCCCAGGAATTAAAAATGGACCACCAGTCTGAGGTCAATGACAGGACACAGGTTCGGACAACACAGGCATTGGACGTGATTCCATAAACAAAATTATACAAGTTTATTTTAATATTAAGTTATTTTCTTAAAATACAGTCGCGATCACAAAGTCCAAATAAAATCTCTCAGGTTCTCAGTCATTCAGGTTACCATGAGCTGCAACATACAGGAGGGGGCTGAGACTGAGGGCTCACTGGCGGAGTTGACCTGCTGAGAGGGAAGGGGCCTAATGTTCCACCACACGTGAAGCGCGAGCAAAAGTTCGTCTCGAGCGAGGTATTTGCTCGCTTGCGAAACGTAAGGGCAGTAAGGGGGCGGAGCCAGTCACCATGGTCTCTACATCTGATTGGTTACAAACCCCGTCTTTGGATTGGCTGGAGCGATGCATTCACACAACTATAGAAGCCCATTTCCGCACTGAAGAAAGGGGAAAGTCAAAATTATGAGATAAAACGTTGTCAAAACACAAACAACACCTTTATCTAACCGTAGTGGACCGTAGATGACAACCAGCTATAACCATCATTACCGGCACATTAAGACCAATGCGTCCAGCTCGCAGACCGGATGGTGATTTTCCGCCACAGCAGTCAAACGTTTGGCGCCGGGGCAGGTGGATGGGGGGGGGGGGGAAGGTGGAGACGGTGCTTTCAGGGCCCGATCGATGCTGCGAGATGCGTCCGCTCCCGCTGCCCCCTATTATATTTATATTAATTTCAAACTTTTCAAAATTGAAAATTAAAAACGTTTTATTTATTTATTGTAAATGACCTCTCGCGGCCCACCTGCAGTACCTTCGCGGCCCACACTTTGGGAATCGCTGCTCTACTGTTTTCCGAAAAATTATTATTCTTTCACCCATTCAATTGCACTTTTGAGGCACTTCCCATATACAAAACTCTTCAAATTTGTCAGTTGCATCAAAAGAGCAACAATTTTAGATATTTTAGGGGTAGTGCATCTGGGTATAACAAATGTCTATAGTGCCTCCCAGAAGTGCTTCCTCTAGGGAGATTTTTGCCCATTTTCTCGGATTGACATGAAATTCAGCACACATGTGCTCTTGGATATACTCTACAAAAAAGTCAATCATGGTATGCAAATGCGCCTACCTAGACACATTATTTCAAACTGGACGCTGGGTCCAATTGTCACAGAATCCTCAGGGCATTTGGATGCCATCAAAATATTGAAGTTATGGACAAATAAATTTGTAAGTGGTGTGGCCTAATAGTAAAAAATACATTGTTTTTCCCATTTCTATTGTATTTTGGATTTATAAATGAACAAACTCCTCAGAGTTTAAACCCGATCAATTTTAAATTTGGGGACTATGGCCCGTGTGGTCAAAAGTTTTAAAAATCAACCGTTTTCATGCAACAATCTGAGCGTGGTCATTTAATCTGATCACCCTTACATTTGTGAAGAAAAGCTTTAAGATATTAGGGCACCTTCTATCATTTATCAATCAATGTCATCAATGTCAACACCACCCGCACACTCCACTCTGCTTTTGCCAAACTGCTTGTTCCTCCCCCATTGAGAGCAAAACACTCAACAAGATCACAACAACTTTGCTGTCCTGGCTCCGAAATGATGGAATGAGCTCTCTGTTGATATCAGGACCACAGAGAGCCTTCACATCTTCCGTTGCAAACTAAAGACACACCTCTTCAGATTATACCTTGACTAAAAATACTAACAAATTGTACTTATAATGTCAGGGTGCGGGGAAGGCAGCACTCAAATGCAGACTTTGAGAAAGCAAGAGACTTTAATCGTCAACGATTCCAAAAATGCAAAAAAGGCCAAGGAGCAAGAACGCAGACAGGAACATGGAACATCCAACAATCAACAATGACGCAACAAGTGGCAACAGACACACATGGTTTAAATACACTAGGGAGGTGCAGGTGATTGGACACAGGTGGAAACAATCAGACAATCACAGGGGATGACAGGACAAGGCAGGAAGTGAAGTTACCCAGGGAAATAAGAAGCAGAAACTACAAAATAAGACAGGAAATAACCCCACCGTGACATATCAATATCTTATCTATAGCAAATTTGAAATTGCAGACCATTACGCTGCTGGTTCCGACCAGCGAACAGTACGGGGTGGGGAGGTGGCAGCACGACTGGCGAACGGTACGCTTGACAGGGGGTACGCTGTGCCCCGCGGGCAGAATGCGTTTGTTGGCCAAATGGATCGCATCTATTCAAAGAATGGAATGGTAAATGGACTGTACTAGTCTTCCACTCAGTAGACCACTCAAAGCACTTTAACACTACATGACATCATTCACCCATTCACACCCATTCATACACTGATGACAGGAGAACCATACACAGAACCTGCACATCAGTAACTAACATTCACACACTGTAGTTGCTGCTACAGGAGCAATGTTGGGTTAAGTGTCTTGCCCAAGGACACACTGGCATGCGGGTTAGCGGGGACTGGGATCAAACCAACAACCCT